AACACTATAATATTTAACTCGATATTTAATATAAATATATCAAGTGGTACATCAAAATTTAGGAAATTTTACGTCTTTTCAAAAACTCCAAAATATATAGGGTGGTCTATATCAAAAAATGTGTTTAGGATCGTATATGATAAACTAAACACCCTGTATACAAACTGTCAATCGCGATAAATTCTAGATAAAAAAAAGTGCCCTAAGAAAGATTTTGCCAACCTCAATTGTCTTTATTAGTAAGAACGTTATGGGGCATTAAAGAAATCGACTAAATTCGAGCCACCGCCCCCTCGACCCTAACGGTCAAACGATTAGAGATAACTGAACTCTGTTTGCGCCAAAGATTTTCTCTTTCAAACTAGATACACTTATGTCCATTTTTTCTATCTCTTAATATAAAGGGTGTTTCCATAAGAAAGTGTCTTTCTGTCCTATATTTTACCATTACAATCAATTTCAAAATCGACTTCTAAATGCGATTGCTCTAAGTTCCGCCACTTAAAACGATAAAAATCGTTCCACATTTACGTTTTTTCGTACAACGACGGACAAGGATTTTTGCTCTATATATCTATATATAGAACTGTCTTAAGACGCTTTTAAAATTTTCAGAAGATCCAGTCGGTGTAACTGTAAGTAAATTGTGTTATAAAACTATACCTGGACGATGTCCTGTCTACTTCTATTTTAGTTTTCACCAGCGCGTTATATGACATATATATTTCAGGGAGTATATAAGCGAGAAACGAGATGGTGGAGCGAGACGAAATGGTCATAGACAACATTGTGATTTACTTACTAAACTTAGCAGTTTCGTATCTCATGGCACTAAGTACCTATACATTTCGCGCACACTATAAGTAGGTATCCAATAATTCTTTTTTTCCGTAAATATTTTTTAAAAAACGTCTTTCTAAGCCAAAAATTATTTTTAACGGTATCTAACCGACCATGAGAACATGAAAAATTACTTTTTTTGTGATACATATTATCTTTATCCTTGGAAGCGTGAACCACTACGGTATACCGGCGTTTACCACTATCCTGCTGCAATTAATTCCAATCAGCCATTCAGGATGTCGAGCGTTAAGAAAAATGGCGACGTCAATCTGCATAACAAAATTTATGAAGGGAAAACAATGACGCCATTTTGTATTTTATTTTTCTATATTTATAAACAGGTGAGTGGTTGCCAACACGTTCTTGATTTAAGAACTGATTTGTCGTGCTAATTTTTTTGGTGGCATTATGAATTATGTCAAGTTTAACGCGAATGAGGCGAAGGGGCGGGTTCCTGTGTTGAAACCCGTCTGTCTGTCGGTGTTTGATCCATTTGGGAGGTTTCCAGTATAACGTAACCGCCGAGGTTTCTTCCAGATCGTATAGTCTCTTTTTGTGGGGGCATCTTTAAAATTTAGTCTGTAATTGGAGAAATAAAAGCTAACGTCAAGACAATCTCGAACACAACGGCTTCAATTGCAAAACTATGGTGGAATTTTCGAAATTTTCACAAGTTAACATTTGGATGAATTTAGAAATTTAGCCGAACGTTTGCCAAAATCTGGCTAGAAAAGAGAAGTGTCTCCCATAAGGGTCCTATAATTTATTTTTATTGGGGTTGTCGCAAAATGGAACGTCCCCGCTATAGTCACAAGGAGAATTAGTTGGGGGTTGACTTGCTTGACGCGGCATGATTTATAACGAACAAAAAGATGCCAATCGCAAGGGCAAAATCCAAGATGCCCGAAGGAAACCCACATTCACGATGGACATGCTACACGGACCCTCGCACGGACCCCTTCGAACTCTCACCGCCCAGAAGACCGCCACCGGAGGGTCGTTTGCAAAATTTACCGCCCGCTTTAACGGTACGGAAGATGCCCAAGCATTCATCGCTACGACCACCACATCCACAAAGAGAAAGCCTTAACGTCGCATCCTGGTGGTCAGGGTAAACAAGTTAAAAACGTGGTCACTTGCGACGAATCCAAATAAACATTTGTGGTTCTGATCTTTTACACAGTAAAAGAAAGAATCCATAACGAAAAAGCTTAAACTGGAGAACGAACAGACGGACAAAGTGGGGACAATAGTTGAAAAGGAAAATGCGCTAAAAAGACTATGTCACCTCGGAACGAAGCCATGGGCCTCCTCGAACGGACGTTCAGATCACAAAGCCCCCCCCCCCCCCAAATTCAAATTAATTCACGTTAATTCAAAATAATTCACGTAAATTCATGTCAATTCAAGTTAAAAGTTAATTCACGTACAAATTAATTCAGATTCATTCAAATTAATCCACGTTAATTGACGTTATTTATCGTTAATTTAATTAATTCACTTTAATTCTCGTTAATGCTAATTAATTCACGCTAATTCAAATTAATTCACGTTAATTCTAATTAACCATAAAGAAACGGTAAACTATTTCTTTGCGAAGGATCCACGAGGCCTTTGAAATTAGCGTTCAACGTACTACTCTTATCTCTTTCTAGCATCAGAAAAACGCAATAACGTACGTTCAAGTACATAATCAAAGGCCGCGAAAAAATGCATTAATTCTGTTTGGCTATGGTGCGTTCAACCTAGGACACACGGTATAAAAGTCTTCTGAACCCCTCCCAAACGGTTGGACGGATTTTGATGAATTTTTTGTGTCTTTGTGTGTCACAACTCCTAATTTTTAAAAACTTCTTTTTTAGTTTATGTCTCACTCTGCTTTTTCGCGTACCGATCGATACATGCGCAAACCGTGCCGATGTGTTTACATTTTTATATTTTGTAAGCTACGTTTCTGTTATCATTATAGCTACTATACAGAGTGTTCCTAAATATGATGTAAATACGGAAGGAACTAATTCTTTGGATTAATTTATAAACACAAATGCTTCATGATCGATCTACAGGGTGTTGTGTAACACAGTACACTTTATAATTTAAACCTTTAAGATACAAATTTCAATGCGAACTGTCAAATAAAAACAAGAGATTATCAAAATAAAGCCAGAGCCTACCAAACCATTTTAAAAATTTCACTTTCATTTAGCTGATTATCAAAAATTGATTTTTATTTTTGTCGTAAGTAAGAAAAAATTACAAGAGACCAAAAAGGTTCCAAAACAAATCAAACCAAAAAACCAAACCAAAAAAATCCAGGTCTAGAAAAATGACACAATGACACCCTGTAGATTCTCACTACTATTGAGATGGCCTATGATGTAAGTCCTTCAGCGTAACTTTTCAAATTTGAGCAAAATATCTCAAAAACTGCAGAAGATTAAAAAAACTTAATTTTAACACCTTGTAGATTAGTAATGAAACGTTTGCGGAGCTATTAAGAACTTTTAGTCATAAAATAAGCCAAAGTATTTACGTCATATTTAGGAACACCCTGTATATTGCATTGCTTTGCTAACGGACGATCTCCAAGTCTCTCATCGGATAGTTAGGGTGAGGGGACTAGACAGACCAGAATTGGCGTGATGAAGACATAGTCAAATTGAAGTAAAACTTCTGTACAGCAAACGATTGTCGCTACAATTAAGACCTACCTTTGAAAATATGTAAGAAACTACAGACATATTTTAGAAAAGTTGGGAAAGTAATAGAGTTTTATAACGTACGCCAACTTGAAAAGATGTGTCTTAGTTCTAGTGCCTTATCTAAATTGAAAAATTTACAAAAGCGATAAAGTTTAAACAATAAACGAAAACTACTAAATTACGAAGTTTCTAAAAGTAAACGCAAAAACAACATCGAAATACTAATTCAAATAAAACGAACCCACTCTGCGCTTAATTCGTAAATAATCCCCCAGAGTTACTTAATCAATGTAAATAATTCTCATATACAGGATGTCTGGTCAAAAATTTTGGTTTTAGACCGAAATAACGTCAGCATGACGTTTACACAACATTTGTCCCCTTAAATTGGACACACACAATCAAAATTACAACAAAACCATTGGAATTATGGATTTTTGAACAACTGACCATTTGATCTACCCTTAATAGGTTGTGATTTACCTTCTGACTTTCAGTGATATTTTCCCTAGCTGGTGTGAACCATTGAGATAATTGGGATGCCTTTTAAACATAGCCTAAATCACTTATCGCTAGGTCTGTTATCATTTTTAAAGGACTGTTCTTCCTTTGTTTAAAAAACAAATTATTGACATGTTTGGTCGAAACCAATTACCTATTAATACAGGTGGAATCATCAGGTCCCTAAATCTTTTGTTAATATTTCTTACTTGTTTTTTGTTACGTAAGACTTTCTGAAGCAAATGAATTATTGTTTGGTTTTCCTGATATAAACAATAAAAAAATTACATGTTTTTAAATAAACTTACCTTAACTTTTTCGCTATTCGCCACTTAAATATACAAGAAAAATGTGCGCGGGTTCATTACAACATTGCTGCCAACGTCGCAAGCAAAGTTTACCATTCAAAAAAAGCGCAAGGTTGCCAGATCTCTTAATTTTACATAGAATAAAAGAAAGTGCCAGTAGATAGTATATTACGTTAGTCTGCACCCTTACTGATCTCGTAAAAAATCATTGGGTTGTTTATCTCTTATCCAATGTCTACGGAAATAATAGATACGTTACAGTTTTCCTTTAAAAAAAGGCTTTCGAATCCTTAAAAAGAAATCGAACGTCAATGTCGAATGAATGTTCACAACCGCATTTTGCATTTGGCCGCCATAAGAAAAATAAGTAGTGTACTATAACGTGGTCAAAATTGGAAACCACATTGAAGCAAAAATGAGCACAGGAAACATTTCCCATGTTGTTTTCGTTTTGCTGGGAACTTGCCACACGATGACATAAAAACATAAGATTGGTATATAGTTCACCGAACATTGTAGCTTGAAGGTCTCCAAAAACAAATTTTTGTTTGGATTCACGCACAAAAAAGCTTTAATACAAATAATAAATACCATTGGCAAAAATACAATCGAAAATAAAAATGTAAATAAAAAAACATGCACTTACTTGCAAAAAGAGCTTCTAAACAAGGCGCCTGTCTAATGCTTCCACAGGATAACATCGCAAACGCCTACACACTGAAGGTAGGGTGTACAAAAATGTTAGTGAGGGCGACAAAGAAGTTAGATGGTTTTAACTAAAACAAAAAAAATAAATGCATTAATAATGCGTCGCTAATATTAGCATATTGTTAGTATAAAACATTTACTAATTGAGCAATATTGGTATCGTCGTATTGGCACAGAAAAACATTAATTATAAATGTCGCAAAAATTGTGTCACAGCAGGTTGTTTACCATTGAAACGGAGTTCATAAGCCTTCGCACAAACTATCAGAAATAGTTCGGATGCGATGCGTGGATACGCGCCCTTTTACACGCATCATTACGCGCAATTTATGACGTCCGATTTCAATTGAAAGGTGAGCGTGAGAGAAAAATCAGCCTTTCTCAATATACAGCTATTGACACAATTACTAATTATATCATGATGGCAAATTGTTTTCGTTCGAGTAAGTAGATAGTGATGGAGGAGGAGGAGGAGGAGGTTTTTTGACAAATTTCGACAGGTGCGGCTCAAAAACATCAGGACAGATCGTAAATACACAATCACAGATAATTTACACAGAACTAAACGATTAGGTACATCTAAAAACGTCGGTGGCCTTCTGTTACAGAATAATAATAAAATAGTAAAAACAGCGGCAACTTTAAATATCAAACAGGTGCATTTACATTTTTCACTTAAGTGTTATTTCACGTGTCGTGTTAATATTTCATACTGCAAACCACGTGGTAATAATCAGCTATTTTCATAATAACGTATGTACATGAAGTTGCTAAAGCGTTAATTTCACGTTCATTAGAACAAATTGCACCGTGGTGTTGTCAGCGACGAGTCGCTTTTTTTGGCCGCATTTATCTATTGCATGGGACGTAAATCTTTTCACGTCGAAAATAATGCATCGCCAGCTGCTCAAGAAAAATTGATTTTTAAAGAAATTTGAGCCTTTAGCAAATGCTACAAAAAATCCTTCACACGATCAAACTACGGACTCGCTCAACCCTACAGCCATTGAAAGCGAGAGCTGGTGATGAGTGAAAACAATACTTTTTTTTTGCTAAATTTTGCATTTCTCTTACCTATTTAATTCTTTTCGAAGGAACCATAACAGATACAAAAATGAAACTTTACAGTTTTTTGGGGTCCTTTATGACTTTATAAAAAGGTTCAAAACCCCTTCTCATCTCCACGTGAGGGTACAGAAGAAATTCCGATCAAAACAAAATTGGGTATTTCTCAACGAATCCAAATTAGTTTTTAAAAATTTGCAAAAATAATTCCAACTGCCGGGCAACCAAAATGCCCAGAATCCAGGTTTGGAATGGCTGTAAGTAGTGTTTGTACGGATTAACAGTAGGTATTCACCTTTTCCTTGTTTGTTCTTCTTTACAAATTAAATTTCGTTTTTAATTTTGCAGAATTTCACAAATTACCCACACATCAGTTACGTCAAACTGGAAACTACTTTCAATAGTATACATCGAATAAGGAATGGTCTCGCCTAAACATTTCCATTTTACAGGAAATTTGTACGATATGTATTCTCGCACGGTTAGTGTGTTGTGAGCGAGTGCGCCATCCTGTTGAAAGTAACAGTTTCCGACTCCCGTTGTTTGTGTGTGCCGCAGAGCTGTGCAAGCCCTACCAAAAAAGGAATTAATTCACAATTCAAAAAGGAATTGTATTTTACAAGCCCTAATTCGTAAGCCTTCTTGTGACTTTATTTCAGGAAATTTTAGTTTCCATGACAGCGGCAGACCAGACTATTTCTCCTGATGCCACTTTAACGACCGCACCGGTCACATTGCTAAATGCCTACAATGACTCCTGTCATCACTGACAAATTGACATTAATCAACAGTCCATATGAAAATTGAAATTTTATATTAAAATACGATTTCGAGTAAAATTTAATACAAAACTCGTCAGTAAAATGGCATTACTTGACACAAATTAAAGCGCTCGGCCCCGGCGTGATTGACAGTGTTTGGTGTCAAATGAAACGCGCTTAATTAACACGAATTTTAAGCCGGGCAATTATTAGTTTTTAATTTTTGAACGTTATTGTCAAATTTTCAAGGAAAGAACGTGATTTAGAAAGAATCTTTTTCCGTTTGTTTCATGGTAACGCGTGCATTTACGCTTTATCGAGTTTTTTTTTTAATATATCTAACCGTACCGTATAATTTCAAAGTAGGTTCCGTGTTTGACACTTTACACTATCGTTGTTAAAAGGGAGCCTTTTTCCTTGATTTCTCTTTTCAATATGAACTGTTTGCTTCCGATCCCATGTTGGGAAATTCTTGCTTTGCCGTGTGTCGTAATTCTGTTTCAGATTATTCTCCAGTGACCGACCCCTGCGGCTTCCCAATTTCCGCAACCGAACCAGGAGCCAGATTTGAAATTCTCATGGTGGCGGTCGATGTACTGACACAGACTCCGCCGACAACCGAAGGTTTAAACCAAGCCAGTTTTAGTGATCACTCTCGAACACCCGGTATCTAGAAGCGTTGGGCGCTTCCGAAGATATGTATAAGAATTGAAAGTATAAGGTAGAAATTAGCGGGTTAATTTGTACAGTCGCCCGTTAAGGAAAATAAGAGGCCGTATTTAATTTGCAGTTTGCCGAAAGCTCTCCTGCCCGGGAAGAAGAGAGAGAATCAATCTTGTTCAGTTTTAGGTCCGTTAATTACCCAGTAATCGATTTTAATTTCTCACCGGCAAAGTTTTGCAGTTTAAGGAAAATATCAACGTGATTAGACTGATTACAGATTAGGCCGCTTGATCTTACATTCCAAGGAACAAATCATTGCTCGAGGCATTGCTTGACTGCCTAATTTGGAGTGTTCATTCCGACTATTTGAATAAGTACAATTAACCGTAATTAGTTGAATGGGTTAGCTACACTAAAAGTCTCCCATGAAGTCGAGATTACACCTGTTAGATTCGCCCTTAAAAAACTTGAATTTTGACATAGATCCAGTCTGGGAAGGACGTAATCAATTAAAGAATTTTCGAGCGTTATCGCAAGGACACGCTGTGTCCGCTGGGAAAACCGACGACCCTCCATGGCATAGCCGAATTTTATTAAAGGTAGGATAAAACAGGGGCCAGGAGCCATTTTGCTTGCCGTAAGTACGTTAATTGATCGCGCTAATTTTTGCGAAACCGTACCGCCCAAAATGTAAAGCAAACACTTCCGCAAGCAACGTTTTGTAAGTACCATAATTTTTAGCTTTTTCGGTAAATTTATTTTGCATTCATACCGTTTAAGTTTTGCTTTTACATTAAGTTTACTGCACCGTATTTATAGCTTTTGCTTTTTCTTGCGCAGTAATTTCTGCCACTCCGTTTAATAGGGTATTTGCATGTTTTTTTAACTGTACAGAAGCGAAGGACACGCCGCTAGAAGTCACTTGATAAACAAAAAAATCAAAAAATCTTAGGCATTACTTCAAACATTTGGTGTTAAAGTTCAAACGAACAAAGTTCCCGCCAGAAACGGCTCGCAATGAGGTGTGACGTCACTCCTTTTACGATCTGTTATGGTTGCATGTTACTTGCATTGTATCTGCGTAATAATTCGTTCATTTGGCCGTTATTTGTGTTCAACATGTTTGGATGCATTTTGGGAACGTTGACAGTGTTTGTGAACAAGTGGTTTTTTGTTCCTGATTGTACCGGGTGACCCAATAAGACTGTTCCTCGGCCATATCTCGGGAACCGTTCGTCATATGACTTAGGGGTACAAAAATTATTGTGTAAATCGGTTATGAAGAATCGCTGGGAAATATTTTCTAGTTCTAAAAATGACCACCAGAGGGCGTCACTGCCACCTTAAATTTTAAAAATGCATTTTCTTTAAATTTCGCATAATAAACTAAACATTATTTTTTCACATCTTTAAAGAGAACCAGTTTATCTATCATTTTCGTAAAAACAAAAACTCAGTTATTTCAAAAACAAAGATGGCGTGGGGCGTTCAATTGTTTTTGCAATAACCTGCTTTAACTTCTTAACCGTTTGACCGATTGTAACAAATTATAGTTAATATAGTTGAATCATTCTTCGCCAGGGAGCTAGTTTTTACACTATGATGATCCAAAATCCTAAAAAAATCAAATGGAATGATATGACATATTAGGTAAATGCTTCTTGGTTAGAAATCGGCATTTTAGAATAGATTACAAATTCAAAAAACTGCACTTTATGAATGTAAACACAGCAGAATAATTTACAAATTACGGCTGTTATTATTTTATAATGCATCGTGTTTCATTTGTTTAATTTTCCAAGGCCTACCTAAAAGTGTAGGGTCCTTTTCCAAATGTGTGCTCGAATTTAGTGAAATGTTTCGCCATTTGATCTTCTGTCTAATTTGCTAAGTTTTTAAAAGCACATTTGGACGAACTATTAACTTATTAGAATCGTCGGTAAGTCTTTGAAATTGACTTATAGACATTGAAAGCGTTTTGAATGACCAGGCGAATAAAATGAGTTCAAGTAAATTGCGTGTTCGATTCCAACGTGAGCGCTTTTTTTGGTACCGCTCATTAAATTTTGTGTATTCATTGTTTTAAATTAGAAGGATGGACGATAGTTATAATGTCACAATGTAAAAGATACTAGGGAAGGCTTAATTTATACGAATCGACGTGCGGTTTTGTGATAAGTTGAAAATTGAAGCTTTTAGCTTAAAAATCTCAAAAGCGAATTTCGCCTTTGCGTTTTTTTCATTACCGTTTTTTGAGGACACTTCCCGGACAGGTACCTACGTTTAATGGAGAAAATTTAGCTCGAAAGATTATCTATCCGAGGCGACGCATCGTCAAAATCGATAGAAAAGTCACGTTTTGGAAATTTTTTTTGTGAAAGACGTCTGCTCCATTTACCAACACGCTGTAATATGTAAACAAAACAACTATGGCGGCACTGCAAATTTATATTTATATTGTTTCGCTTTCCTGCATTTAGTTTCTCGTGGAAACCGCTACCGAATCCGATTATTTACTGTTCTCGCTTAGGGAAATTGCTGTGCGCTTTAATTTTGTTTTAGCATTCACCAGTAGCCGG